CGGGGGCGCCGCGGATGCCTGGCGTTCCCGGGGCGCGCCGGCCGCGTGTGCCACGCACTGATTGCAGCGGCGCGGGCGCGGGCGGCCGCCGGCCAGATTCTTCCTTATTAGGCGGTCGGGCGCCGCCCGGGCCCGCCGAGCCGCCTCGCGCTCCCCGCGGGGCGCCGGGGCCGGGGCCCAGGGGCCGGGGCCGGGCGGCTCCCTCGCATAGGCTGCCTGGCGGCGGCGCTTCCCTCCCGCGGCGCCCCGAGACGCGTCCCGACCCCGGCGAGCGGCCCCGGGCGGCCTCCCTCTCCGCAGCTGCGCGCCCCGCTCTCCCGGAAAGGTGACGTGTCCGCAGCTGTCCGTATTTTTAGCATACTTCTGTGCCGCCTTTTTTTCTTTCAAGGAACGCAAGGCGACTTGTACAGCCCTCCTCCTCCTCTCAGTGCTCGCCTTTCAACAACCACCCTGCGAGGTAGGCCAGGCGTCGAGGCTGTCACTGGCCCACAGTCGCCCAAGGAGCTCCATGGCTGAGAGGGGGCTCGAACCCAGAGCACCCCGATCCCCTGTCCAGCGCTTGCACCACTGTGCCACACTGTCCCCCGTGCGGCAGTAGAAGGCAGATCCAGCTGCGGTCTGTCTCCACAGAGGTGTTACTTCGTATGCAAGTGCCCGCCTGCCCGCCCGCCTTCCTTCCACCTACATTGTCATATATGGCAACTTTCTCCCTGGTGACCTCATCTTTGGATGCGGGCCATTTGGGCATTGGCAAGCTGGGGTGTAGCTTCCCCCTCATGATGGATTTTTTTCTGCCTCCTGCCAAGAGAAAAGTCTTTTCTGCTTAAGAAGAATGAGGCCGGGCTGCAGCGATCCTTGCAGGCCTTGCGGGCTCACCGCCACGGGCAGGGGGACGAGTTGGGTCTTCTCTGCTGTGCGGTGCACGTGCAGCAGAGCAGGTGCGGAGACAGGGCCTCATTGGCAGAGGGCGACTGACTAAACGGTGCGCCTGTATGTGGGTCCTTTGCAAGCCCCGATCTGCTTGGCATGATCTCTCTTCTCAGGCACCTGCCTCCTGTCACTTAGTGCCCGCTTTGCCTGTTGGCGCGTTTTTGGGTCTCCCTCCCTCTCCTTCTCTAGGTCTTTCGAGGTGAACATTCCCACTTGCAGGGCAGCAGGGCAGCAGGGATGGATGCCTGCGTGCTGCTGCTCTGAGCACTCACATCCATGCATGTCCAGGCTGCTGTTCCATGCACTGCACAACCTGTACACAACATGTTGTAAAACTGTGGAATTTGCTGCTGCTGCTGCTGCTGCTGCAGGAAGTGGTGATGACTTTAAAAAGGGGTTGGGCAGCTGGTTTGCCAGTGTGTGTGTAGCATGGACCGGATGGACCTTGGGCCTGATCCGGCATGGCTCCGCTTGTGTTCTTATGTACAGTTACTGAGGCTTGTTTGCGGCAGTGAGCATATTACAGAACAGGTGAGCTTCTCTAGCTTGCTACTGTCGATGAAAAGGGCCAAAGCTCTGTCCTCACGCACAACAGATGGTCTCAGAGCAAAGCAGAAAATGCACAGTAGGAGATGTACTGGGTTCATTTTGTCAATTCATAGGCCGCCCTTCAATAAGATAAAAAACATGGTGGTGAAAAGCAACCATTCATACAATCATGCTTATTTTATGAGTCAGGAAGCACATTTTTAATTTTATTGGCAAGATCGGGCCATTTTAAGAGTTGGGGTGGGAATATTTTGTGTGAGAGGTGTGCAGGAGTGGTCCCTCCCTCTCTGTGGGAGCCATTGAATAAGAGACGCAGCTTTGAGAGGGTGCGGATGGACTTAACGGGGAGAGGATGTTGGAATTCAGGCATCCTGTCTCTGATGTTTCTGGGAGAGCCAGTGGGGAACTGTGAGCTGGAGCTGTGTTCTAGATGCCGGGGGTTAATTCTGCTCTCTGCCCTCAGTGCCAGCCTGCACCCAATTTCTACCCCAGAACGTTATACGCATCTGAGACCATGGGACACCCTTCCCTGCAGCCACTGATGGGCATCTGAATCTATGCACAGCATGAGCCTTCCAGTTTCCTTGCTGCTCCCTTGCAGGAGCACGCCTCGTTCTCTTAAAAAGGCAACCGGGAGTTTCTCAGGATCTGGTTGGATCTTTTAGGCGTCTGCTCGCCAGTCTTACTTTGCTAAGAATGTCTGTAATCAAAGCCAGCAGTGCTGCAGCAGGGGAACTGGGCTGAAGTGCAGGCCGTGCCATTGCAGGAAGCTGCTCTCGAGGACGGCAGTGTCCGGATACCGTGGAGGGTAGTAAAGCGAGAGAAGGCAGACCTGGGGCTGCCAGGTAGTTGTTCTCGACAACCCCCCGAGGGGCTTCAGGAGACCATTCCAAGAGGCGTGTGTGGGAGGCCTCCTGCCTTCCCCTCCATCCCTCCCCACCTTCTGAGCCATACTTGTATAGCAGCAGATAGATTTTTAAAATCTGGTCACCAGCCACTTTGGAGGGCGTGGATACCAGCTGCCCCTTTCACTGCCCAAAGGTATTTTGTTAGGGGATGGGAAGGATTTGGGTTCCTCACTCAGCAAGAATAATTATGTTGTTCATTCAGGGTTAGTGTGCATTTTAAAAGGTGCACATTTTTCAAAATATGCACACTCTGAAAGTAATGTTTGCACTTGTCAATGGGGGGAAAGTGTGCCCTTGTGAAAAGTGCACTTTTCCTCTTTGGACAGACAAACTGGATAAGAAACCTGAAAGGCTGTGAGGAGAATCTAGCTCTGAGAATGCCTGCAAGCTTCCGTGAGCGTCACTGCCTCGCCCATCAGCACCTGGGGTGGCTCCAGCGGCCCTGCCTTGCTGGCGCAGCAGCAGTTCCACTGGCCCCTTGGCCACTGGTCAGTCTCGGTCCATTGCCAGCACAAGCCGAAGTGCAGCACTGCCTTGATGGCTTGGGGTCAGGCTGATGGAGTGAGAGCCCCCTCCCGCCAAGCCTGCCCCTCCATGCAGGTGCCCCGTCTTTGCAGGTGTTGCACCAGCTGACGGGAGGCAGGCTGTGGGGAAGGCCATCGCAGTGGTGAAGCCCCAACTCTGGCAGCCCCGCTTTCTCCAGGTCTTCAGTGCCAGGCAAAGCCTTTCTATTCTTGCAGTCGTTTAAAGCTCTGACACAATTAGATTAAATCGTTAGATTTAATGCTGCATTGCAGCTGCTGTGGTGTTGTGTCACAGCACTGGCATTCTACGCTATCCAAGAAATACTTAAAGGTGAACTAGAATTTTCTAGGATTGTTTATAGGTAAATGTTTTAGCATGGCTTGTTCATGCAGAGATTTCTGTGTGTGCTGCTTATCGGCTAAAAGAAGACTTTTCCTTGCCTGCTCGCTATAGCTGGGTTCACACGCCACAGCAAGCCGTTGCGGGTTGTTGTGTTCTGCAGTGCCAGGCCAATTTTTCTAGGGTGGCCTGTGCATGGGCAATGAGCTGCCCTAACAAGCCATGGGTTGATCCCTGGATTGCCACCTCATCCAAGCCCTGATGGGCAGCCTCATCATGGGTAGGGAAATTGGCTGGAAAGCTCCGGGGCTGGAGTGGCAAGCGATTCTCGCCATGGGTGGCCAGACATGTACCAGGGCCGGCCGCCTCCATCCAAGTGGGCAGCCAGCGCTGAGTGCCTCCACGGCCCGCACAAGTGGCACTCTGCCCGAGTTCAGAGGCTGTGGAGCCGTGGGATAGCATGGCCTGTGCTTTGTAGCCTGGACCCTCCTCTGCCTGTCACCAAGCTGCCTGGGCTAATTTCTAGCAGGCAGTGTGGCTCGTGGTGGGTGGCACGTGGCTTCCCATGACAGCCCTTCTGTGGAAGCCCTCCTCGCAGCCCCGCAGTGCTCCCATTCATTGCCATGAGAGGTGGCCCAGCGGCCCTCCCAGTGAAGGGGGCCCTGGGCGGGTGAACCACGGGAGGAAGCCGCTTGGATTCCCTGCTGGGGGTACCAGAGCATCTTGGGCGGCTCTGGCCATTCTTGGTAACTTTCTCACCTCTGGGCTGCTGCAGCTGCTACTTCCCTTCCCAATGGCGCTTATAAGGACTTGCCCCTCGCTTGTTTATTGAAGTGGAGCATAAAAGGAGCATATTCATAAATGAGCAGTTGCTTTCCAACTTTTTCCCTGCATACATTTTTCTAATGATAATAATTCACCGGGCTCTCTTCTACCACCAGCCCAAGGTCAATATAATGAAATAAAAGACCTTATATGGCTAACATACTATCCGTTGGCCTTTTTAGGGTCTTGGTTTGGGGAAGATCCGCCTCTGGAGTTTTACAGTCTCACTGGTATTTATACCAAACGCATTGTTGGGAAAGAGTGCTCGAGGAAAGGAGCTTCTAGTGCACTCGGTGAGTAACCACAGAAAGATTTTGCTTGCTTTTGCTCCCATAGTCTTGCGGAGAGAGGGAACGGCTGCCCCGGGACAACGTGGCCGTCGACTGCAGCAGCAGAAGCGCTCGCAGCTTGTCTCTGCCTAGCCAGACGTGGACTCCCTGAGAATTGCTCCCTGCCTCTGTTTTGTGGAGAACTGGACCAGAGGGCTGGACCAGGCAATGTCCGCTCATGATCCGTGCTTGCTTTAGATCTGCTCCACCTGGTAGTCCTTAGAGGAAACCTTTGGGCTGTGGAGTGTGATGCCCCACCGTTTTGTGGAAGAATGTGCCTCTGCGTTCGCACTTAAGTGCATCTTTGTGAGTTAGTTACAGGAGACGTGCGAAATTCCAGGGTTGCGTTGCGGCCCGGCATGGGTGCCTGTTCTCTGCACTGAGTGTCTTTACAGGCACTGGAGAGGCCAGACCGGGGTGCTGGATGAACAGGAGATTTTGGGACAACTTTTAGGTGAAGCCCTAAGTGGCTGCTCTGTGGATGTCATGCAACCTGAGTAGAATCGGCCGTGCGTCGTTGCCACTACCTTGTTCGTTTCCCCCCTGCTTCTCGAGTGCTTGCCTGCTTCCATCGGCATGGCTCTCAGTGCGGTTAGTGTGGTGCCAGCTCCTCGTACGATCTGGCTGCTTCACTTTGCCTCACATGGGAAAAAAGTCTCGCCAGATCTGGAGGGAGGGTGCAGGGAGGGTTCTTTTCTGGAAGCAAGGGACTGCAGAGAGTATTTCCATTTTTGGGAAAAGCCTGTGATACACCTCATGTGTCTGTTTACTCTCATCCAGAATGGAGTGGCCAGCTGCTACACTCCCTCTCTGATTCATGCTGGTAGCTTTCTGGAATGAAGAGCGAGCAGGGTCTGTGGCATGCATCCCGGGAGGGAACTTTAGGAATTTCCAGAGTACAGATCACAGTGTGTATGTGTATCGCAGAAAGAAAAACCAAGTTTGCCAGGGGGACAATTCAGCACTAGAACGACTGTAGGGAAAGTTCTCAAGATCCACAGTTCAGGGTTTGGATTCTGCCAGGCTCGGGCTGCTCCGAGGAGACAGTCTTTAATTTTAGACAGATCTGAGCCCCAGCATCTGTTTTCCTGGAAATACCGCCCTCCGATCTGGCAATCCCTCCTTCAGCTCCTGCAGTGTGAGATGTCTCCGTAGTGGCTTGTCTCCCCAGCCTAAGTGGGGAAGGAGGCTGTGACTGAGCATTGCTGAGCCCTGGCAGAATGAGGCCCCATCCTGGAACTAACCAGCCCTTAAAGCATCCTCAAGTCTGCCCTTTTATTTCAGGCACCCCTAACCCCTTGTGTGAGAAGTTGGAATATCCGTTTCCTTGTAGAAGTAGCACTTCATAATCCGCCTCTGTGTTAGAGCGTCCTAGTCCCGATCTGATGTTGTTTATTTCATTTTTATTTTATACATGTATTTATAGGCCACCTATAACTGCCGAGGCCTTCCTAGGCGGCTAGGAAGGTTGCTCATCTCCTGAGCCTGCCTGGATGACCAGGGCAAATGCGAGAACCTGGAGAATCAAGCATGGGGCACCGAGGGAGGCGGGGGGTTGTTCCTGGTCATAAAAGACCTTTGACCGGGGAAGAAGTAAGGGAAATATGGAGCCTGACTTGGGAGCTGGTGGCTTCAAGAGGGGAACCGCACTGCTTAGGGCAGGGAGGTCGAAGCCCTGCCTTGTTGGAGCAGGCCGACGGGGGGTCCCCGAGACCAGCTTTCCCTCCCAGCAGAAGCCGTGCAGATGCGCCAGCAGGGGCTGAAGCGGGTGCTCCCTTCTTTGCGTGGCTTTTAGGGGGATGCTGCCTGTTGAGCAGGGCAGGTCTGCGTGGATCACAGCTGAGGATGGCCGGTAGCCCTCGCCTGCATGCGCGCGTCTGCTCTGCTGCTGCAGAGCCATCCAGAGCAGGAAGCACCTTGCGTCTTCCAGCTTGTGGCAGAGTCCCCCAACCTCTCCGTGAAGGGAAGTGATCCAAGCCACGCCAGCTTGGCATCAGAGCCACTGCCCAGGGAGGCTCCAGCCCGGCCAGGCTCCACCGCATGCTCACCAGCTTCTCAGAGCAGAGCAGTGGGTTGCTTTGCTGTGACCCCCCCCAGCCCCCTTCCCCAGGCAGTGTGTTCCCTGCTCCCCGTTGGGCCCCACGCCTGCTTTGCCACCCTCCCTGTGCCTGGTCCCCACCGGCAGCGCGAAGCAGTGGGGGATCGGGAGGCTCCGTCCTGCGCAAGCCGGGCGCCGTGTGTCGCGCCCGTGCCGACGGCCGCCGCGGCTCCAGCAGGAATCCCGAGAACTGGCACCTTGGGACCGAGCTGGCTGTGGCTCAGCCGGGATGCCCGGCTGCCCATTCACCTCCTGGGGCTACCTGCGGAGCAGCAGGGCTCCCAAGCGGAACGCAGCTCTACCTGGGGGCAGCTCCGTGGCTGCTCTGGGCTGGTCCCTCCCCGTCAGGAGCTCGCCCACGTGGTCCCGGGCCTAAGAATCGCGTTCTTCCTCCAGGTCTCGGTGTCCCAGCACCACTCTTGCTCCAGCCATGTGTGAAGAGGAGACCACCGCTCTGGTCTGTGACAACGGCTCGGGGCTCTGCAAGGCCGGCTTTGCTGGGGACGATGCGCCCCGCGCAGTCTTCCCCTCCATCGTGGGCCGCCCCCGTCACCAGGTTTGTGCACGGGCTCCCTCTGGGGGCTTCCCACACGGGCTGCCTGCCTGCCGGCATCTCCTCCAAAAGCCCCAGACCGGGCAGGATGGACGGGATGGAGCGAGCGGGTTGGGTTGGGCCAAGCACTTGCTGTCCGGAACAAAGCGTGGGCCCCACATGACACCGTGAACTGCAGAAAGGTTATTACCAGAGCAAAAACACACACTGCAAGGTATCCAAAGAAACTTAAGGTGGGGAATGCTAAATCCGCAGAAGATGAGACACTGCAGTAACGAGGAAGGACATGCCGTGGGTGATGAGGATGGCTTGAAGGCCGCTCTCGCTTCCGGCCAGGGGAGGGAAGGCTGAGCTTGCTTCTGTTTGGCTCTCCAGGGCGTGATGGTGGGCATGGGCCAGAAGGACAGCTATGTGGGGGACGAGGCCCAGAGCAAGAGAGGAATCCTGACCCTCAAGTACCCCATCGAGCATGGCATCATCACCAACTGGGACGACATGGAGAAGGTGTGCTGAGGGCTGGGCGCCTCCTTTGCTCAGTTGTGGGTTTTCTGGAAGTTTTATATTAAAGGAGAGGTTAATCAGCATGCAAGCACAGCCAAAACGTATTTGCATTCACTTGTGATTTAGTTTGAGTCCAGGAAGAAGCAAAAGGACTTCCTGGAGTCTTTCATAATCTGCCCATCAGCAGACCAGGCCTGAGCTTCTTTCCCCCCTTTTCAATTGTGGGGTTGTCGCTCCCACTTTTATATTTTATAAAAGTCGTATAGCCAAATCAGGTGGTGGTCTGAAAGCACAAAGCAGACAGCTCGGTGAAGGGGATTGGGCTGGTCTGATCAGAGCCTGGACAGGAGTTTGTAAAATTTACAACTGCCACTCCTTAAAAACCATATTTGTCCATTAAATGGGTGCAAAGTACACATTCTCTGTTCCGCTGGTATATCCTGGGGACCCACCTGATCTTCGCAGCCTGTATGCTTTCGAGGGCTTAATTCAGCAGATCCGTCGGGGCTTGGCCCACTCCCAGGTTGCCATCCCGGGCAGAAGCTGCCATAAAGCGGGTGTCATTCTGCTGTCAGAGCGCAGCAGCCACGGAGCCCTGGCATTGCTGCTCGTGGAGGGTGGGGCCCGAGGAGCCTGGGGCCGAAACCTGGCATGGCTGCAGTGGCTCTGCAGCCCCCGGCCTGCCGTGTGTGGGCTTTGGAGGCAGGCCCTGCGACAGGCATGACAGGCCTCCGCCTCAGGCCGCACCTGCCACAGATGTCAGGGAGGGGGCTGGCTGCACAGCCGGGCGACCCCCCCATCTGTCCCTTGACTCCAGATCTGGCACCATTCTTTCTACAATGAACTCCGAGTGGCTCCTGAGGAACATCCCACGCTCCTCACAGAGGCTCCCCTGAACCCCAAGGCAAACCGGGAAAAGATGACCCAGGTAAGCCCTCCCACCCCACCTTGCAAGGTGAGAGGCTGCAAAGGGGGCTGCCCTCCCTCAGGCTGTGGGCTCCTCTGGCTGCGCAGGAAGCTTGGCTGAGGCCAGCGGGGCTCTGGGTCACCGGCGCACAGCCTGGGCAGCCCCCCCCCCCCCCGATCGTGGGAGAAGCTGCAGGGCAGGGTGGGTGAGGTCTTCCCTCCCTGGAGTGTGGGGGACCTGTGGCCCATGTGCACGGCTGGGATGCTCAGGTGTGGTGCTGGCACATGGTGCCAGGCGAAGGCCCCCCAGTTGGGGGGCCCATTCACACCATGCAGAGCCAGAGACGAGGCCAGGCAGCTCCGGACGCCGTGCCCTCGCCGTCCCAGCAAGGCTGGTGCAGGACAACACCGCAGCAGCGAACGGTGCTCCGTCCCGGTTCCTGCGGGAAAGGTGCCCTTGTGGTACGGCCCCAGCTGGCCCCCGCGCAGCAGCGCTGGCCGAGAGCATCCCTGGCCATCTGGGAGGCAGATCAAGAGGGCGCGGCTGCTCTTCCATCCGACCTGCATCGCAATCCCTCCTCTTCCCCAGATTATGTTTGAAACCTTCAACGTCCCTGCCATGTACGTCGCCATCCAGGCTGTGCTGTCCCTTTATGCATCGGGCCGCACTACCGGTGAGAGCTCTGCCCCCTTGGTCTGAGTGTGTCTGTGTTTCCGTGCGGGTCAGAGGGGTCACGGGAACATCTGGAAGACACTTGCCCCCGGGTGCTTGCGGTGTGCCAGCGGCTGTCCTCCCTGGGGAGGTGGAGCCTTCCTGCTGCTCTCAGAGCACGCTGGCTCCGAGCAGGCTCGTGCCGCGCGGGGGGCTGGCCGCACTGGCCGTCCTGCTGCAGCTCTTTGGGGGGCCGATGCACGCGCCGTTCGGGGAACGTGTCGCTGCCTGTCGCTCAGCGGTGTCTCCAGGTCTGTCCCCGTGGGGGGCAGAGGCGGTGTTTGCGGCCACCGGAGTCACGCAGGTGCAGAAAGCCGCTGGACAGACCTGTGGAGGGAGACGGCACCACTAGTGGTGGCGACTGTGGTGCAGAAAACATGTGACTTGCCAGAGCTTCCAAACTAGAGGGAAAACCATAGAAGATTACGTAAGACAAGGACAGAATTTCTTTCCCTGGAGGTTGTAGGGTGTGCGGCCTTGCCTGCCCACCTGCCGCCGTACAGGTTGGCCCACCTGTTCTCCTGTGGTCGGTCAGATGTTTGTCCAGGGAAGCTTCCCAGTTCCCTGCTTCCCCCTCCACGCCAGCAGAGTGCCTCTTTTGAGGAAGCACCCTGCCAAACTGGGGACCGGCAGCTCCCTGGACTCCGAGAGCCATCTCTCGATCTAAAGGTGGAAGCTGGCACTGATGGCTTCTCCGTCGGCGCGCTCTAGGTATAGTCCTGGACTCCGGCGATGGCGTCACTCACAACGTGCCCATCTACGAGGGCTACGCCCTGCCCCACGCCATCATGCGCCTTGACCTGGCTGGCCGCGACCTCACGGACTACCTCATGAAGATTCTCACGGAACGGGGCTACTCCTTCGTCACAACCGGTAGGAAGTGGGCGGATGGAGGGACTGGAGCTGTCCTTTCCCAGCGCTCCTTTCTCCGACCGACCGGGTGACCAGCTCCCGGGTTGCAGGAGGGGCTGAGCAAGCACTGGCCCCCAAGTGCTCGTGCGGGCCTCGTGAGCCGAGGCGCTTCCTGCCGAGCACGAGCACAGAGCGGCTCTCGATGGGTCCCGAATCGCAGGACCAGCTCTCCAAGCCTGTTCTCTCCACCACTGCGTGATGCCTGTGAAAAACTGAGAGTAGGAGGGGGGCTGGCGGACTAACGCAGGAGCAGCGGCTCCCAAGGTCAGCTGTCCCTGCGCTGCTCCTCCCCACTGGAGCCCCACAATTCAGGGCCGGCCCGACCGAGTTCACCGCCTGACCAGCACCGCCCCCTAGCCGTTGCCCGTGCAAGCCCCACTGAGCCGAGCATTGCTCTCCCACGGCCCGTTCCCAGCAGGGCAGGGCAGACAAGTGGGCACGCAGGCAGGCGAGGTGCTCCCCAGTCGGCTGCCTTCAATTTCCCTTCCGGCTCCGCCGGCTCCGGGGCCTTGCCCCGGCTTTGGCACGAACCACTTCTGTGCTTGACAGCCGAACGAGAGATTGTGCGTGACATCAAGGAGAAGCTGTGCTACGTCGCTCTGGACTTTGAGAACGAAATGGCAACTGCGGCCTCCTCGTCTTCCCTGGAGAAGAGCTACGAGCTGCCGGACGGACAGGTCATCACCATCGGCAACGAGCGATTCCGTTGCCCGGAAACCCTCTTCCAGCCATCCTTCATTGGTGAGTCTCCCAGTCCGGCATGACAAGTGAGCTCAGGGCCAGGTGCAGTGCTGGAACAAGGCATCTCTTGCTAATCAGCGATCCTTTCTCGAAGCGGATCTGTGCAATGGTCTTTGATTTTGAAATAAAAATGTCAGTAAATCCTGAAAGGGAACATAAAAAAGGATAACCACTTTCCATTTCTGTTTTAGAAGGGTGCATGAGCATGAAATAATACTATGGGAAATGTTTAAATTAAGCTACCAAGTACACTGAATTTCATTGTAATTAAGCAGCAAGTGGTTTTGGAGACAAACAGCAGCTAGTTTTGTTTCCTTACTGCCAGGTGAGCATTAAAGCAGCAAAAGGAGAGCAGGTGTCCAAAGGGGGCAGAATCCCAGAGTATAATTTGGTGCGGCCTTTGTGGCAGCTGAGCAGTAAGCCGCTCGCAGATGGAAGTCTAAGCTGGGCTTCCCGAATTCTGTCCGAACGGGGACAGAAAGACACGCTGCTGAGCATGTTCCATTTCCCGCAGGCATGGAATCCGCGGGCATCCATGAGACGACCTACAACTCCATCATGAAGTGCGATATCGACATCCGCAAGGATCTCTATGCCAATAACGTCCTTTCGGGGGGCACCACCATGTACCCCGGCATCGCGGACAGGATGCAGAAGGAGATCACGGCCTTGGCACCCAGCACAATGAAGATCAAGGCAAGTCTCTTGGGGGATTCAGAGCACTCGCCCTCCCGGTGGCTGGCAGAGCGCGGGAGGGGGCACTGGCCAGGTGTGCGCTCGGGTGACCCACTGCCCGGGCACACAGGCCGGTTCTCCTTCCGCAAGTGGCCCATGGGGAAGCCACGCACTGGTGTGCCGCCGGATGCTCACTCACGGTCACAGGTTCTGGTCCGCCATCGCGCTCATGTGCCTTCTCCAACTCCTGGCGCCCCCGTGGAGGTGCACCCTTCACCATGCCCTGCCCTCCGCAGGGATGCTCCTCCAGGCAGCGGCCTCTCATAGCTGGCCTCCCTCTTCCGCTGCTGCCTTCCTCTTCCTCTTCCTCTTCCCTGGCACGCTTGCTTTGTCCAGTGAGGCTTGCCTGAAGCGCGGCAGCTTCAGTTTGGCCATTTTAAACATCCCCGGTCCTCACACACGCATTGCACGAACCGGGCAAACACGCTGCTTCCGTCATCAGGTATCCGTGCAGGTCTTGGCAGTTGTTCTGGTCGGTCCTGCATATCCCTTAGCGAGTTGCCGACGGACGAACGACGTGACTGCACCTGCCTTGCACCTTCACCATCAGCCTGATGCACGGCAATCAGCAGGCAGGGCTTTGATGGGCCTGCAGATGCCACTGCTTACCAAATGCTGCCTGTCAAGCTGCTGTTAAAGACAGAAGAGCAGGGCTCAGTCTAGCAGTTGGCAACTTCCTGCTTTCCCTTTGGAGCCTCAGACCCTAGTAGCAGAGAGCTGGGACACCAGAGCACTGGCACCGGTTTCGCAGGCAGCTTCCCAGCGGCCTCGTTTGCGCTGCACGCCCTGTCCCTTGCGCAGTGTAGAATCGCTGTGCTGCTCGTTAACCCTGATTTGTAAATGTCTCAACAGATTATTGCTCCTCCTGAGCGCAAATATTCCGTTTGGATCGGAGGCTCCATCCTGGCTTCCCTCTCCACCTTCCAGCAGATGTGGATCAGCAAACCAGAGTATGACGAAGCCGGCCCTTCAATTGTGCACAGGAAGTGCTTCTAAAGAGCAGAGCTAGATTCTTCCGGAACACGGACCCCCTTCCTCTTCTTCTTTTGCAATTCTTTCTAACCTTTAATAAGCATTAAAACTTTTTTCAAGCCAGCCACTGTCTGTGCTACTTTGTCTTTTCATGTCATTGAGCTACAGCTGAGACCAACTGCCCTCTTTGTCCCTTAGAAATTGTCACAAGGAAGCGGTGAGATTCGCATTTAGAAAACTGGGAGACTGACTGTCCAATGGCCTTTCACCCTCTCCCGGAAGCTTGCCAGTCCGGTGGACGCTGAGGATGAGCAGCAGAGTCCATGGCCCATGCCCCCGTAACAGCGGGGGCTTTTCGGGGGCCAGAGCACTCTCTGCCGGCCTTGCTTCCTTTAAATCAGAGTCCTCAAACTGTTCCACTGGGGGCCAGCTGAAAGGTGCCTGTGCCGGGTGCGGGCCAAGGTGGTGCTGGCGGTGCACGCGGGCTGGCTTGGGGGCGGGGTGGGGTGGGGCGGCGCGGGCGGCGCACGGCGAGGGGAAGCAAGGCAAGGCAAGGCAGGGGCGGGCACGTGCCGCAAGGTGGGGGCTCGAGGCAGCAGCTTGCTCGCTTGGAGATAGTTTTCGCCAAGTGAGCAAACCGCTGCCTCCCCGCTCGCGGGGCGAGGTAGCAAGTGGTGGGCACGCGCATGGGCGCCCGTGCACGGCGGATCCAAATGGGCACGGCGGGCCAGATCCGGCCCCCAGGCCGTAGGTTGAGGACCCATGCTTTAAATGCTGCTGCACAGAAAGCAAAGCCCATCAGAAAGACTCGGCCGCAAAGCGTTTGGCCAGGAGCTGGGTTCTCCAGAGCTCCTTCTAATCAGGCAGGGAGCCAGCAGCAGGGCCAGGGCGGGGGAGAGCGGGCTCTGAGGTCCCCCTCCACGGGGGTGGCTGAGGCCCCATCGGTGCGGGTGCTCAAGGACAGGCTGGACGTGCACACGGTGGGCATGTCGTGAGTGGGGCCGGCTGGAGCCGGGGTCAGACTAGATGGCCCGGGAGGCCCCTTCTGCCTCGCGCTGTTTCTGTGTCGACAGCACAGCAGGCCGGCCCGGAAACGCGGGCTGCGCAGTCCCGGGCTGCTGCGCTGTCCGCCCCCGGCCCGGCCCCCCGCGCCCGCCCGCCCGGCTGCGCGCCCAGAGGGGGCCGCAGGGAGGCCTCACCGGAGCCGCGCAGGGCTACCTTTCCGCGCACGCGGCCCGCGCCGGCCTTGCGCCCTGGCCGCGTCCGCCGCGCCCCCACGGCCGGGCACGCGCGCCCCTTCCTCGCCCCCGCCTGCGCGTCCCGGCGGAGGGCGGCGCCCGGCCCCTTCCGGCAGGCTCCGGAAAAGCCCGCGCGGCGGGGTGGGGGCGGGAGCGGGAGCAGCCGCCCCGGCGCCGGAGCTCCATGGCCGGGGCGCGGGCCGCCCGGAGGCTCTCCGTCGAGGGCAACATCGGTACGGGGGCGCGGGGCGCGGGCGCGTACCCTCCGCGCCGTCGGCTGTGGTTCGCTGCCGCTCTCTGCACATGCCCAGAGGCGCCGCATTGGCCTGGGGTGCCCCTCGCTGGACTCGGGAGGAGCGAGGGATGGCCCGTGGCGGCGCCGGGGTGCGGCGGGGCGATGCGCCGCCCCTGCGGCCCCTCCCGCCGCCGCGCCGCCGCCGCCGCGCCGCCCCTTGCGCCCAGCCTGCGCTTCTCTCCCTCCAGCCGTGGGGAAGTCCACCTTCGTGCGCCTGCTCAGAAGAGCCTTTCCCAGCTGGCAGGTGGTGCTGGAGCCCGTCTCCAAGTGGCAGAAGCTGCGGGCCGCCGGGTCCCGACAGGTAAGAGCCGAGGGAGCAGCCCTCCCGCAGCCTGGGCGCCCCTGAGCCCGCCGAGCCGAGCCCTGCAGTCACCCCGTCCTCGTCCTTCTGAGGGACCGGCAGGCGTGTCCTCGGGCCCCCACAGCTGAAAGCGGCCAGGTGGGAAGAATGGGGGGGGGGTTGGAAGGAAAGGGTGAGGGGCTGCCCTGCAGGTGTCTGTGGACGGAAGCCGCTGGGCGAGGACTGGCCTGAGAGAGTGGTACAGCCTGCAGGGTGCAGGCTTTGGTGCTTTATAGTCCAGCGTTGCGCCTTTCCCGTTGGAGCAGCTTATGGGCTAGTCTGGCTGCGTCGGGGTGGGGGGTTCTCCAAGCCAAAGGGATGTTCTCCGTGCAGCTGCAAACACAGACGCCCCTCCACCGTTGCTTCCACTCCTCACAGAACGCAGCACAAGCCACCAACAGAACGCACCATGGCCTCCCGCGCCTGGTCACATTTTGCTTTTAAACATGGCATCTCCCAGCAGGCCGCACCTTCTCAGAGTATTGGAAACCTGCTGCAATTGCTCTATCAGGATCCCTCCCGCTGGTCCTACACTTTCCAGACCTACTCGTGCCTGAGTCGGCTCAAGGCCCAGCTGCAGCCCCTCTCAGCAAATCCCGCAAAGACCCTGGAAGCCGTGCAGGTGTTTGAGAGGTCCGTCTACAGCGACAGGTATGGAGAGGAAACTCTGTGGCACCTCCTAGTGGTGGCACTGGGGCCACCCATAAAGGAAGGTTGGGAGCGCTTTGCGGCTCAACAGCGGTGCAGTCTTTGTGGTACATCCCTGTTGCGCTTTCCTTCCTTGCCGGTTCTGCTGCCTGCTGCGTGCGGCCATGGCAGGGAGCCAGAGGAAAAGGGGCAACCCCCTCGCTGCCTTGATCGCATGCAGGCTGCCCCTGCCCCGGGGGGGGGGGTGCCGCTCTTCTTCCCTCCCCTTCCCCAAGAGTGTGTGTGGGCTGTTGACTTGCCAGGTGTGGCTTTCAAGTGGCGGCTGCTTTGGGGAAGATTCACTGTTTTGTCCTCTGGCAGGTTTGTGTTTGCGAAAAACCTCTTTGAGATTGGCCACCTGACAGAAATCGAGTGGACCATCTACCAGCACTGGCACACCTTCCTTCTGCAGGCGTTTGGGGACCAGCTTGGCCTGCACGGCTTCCTTTATCTCCGGGCACCTCCAGAGGTAACTGAAAATGTGGCTCACAGAGAATGTTGCAGCTCTGGCTGAAGCCTTACCGGGGAGCCAGCCTGCGCCCGCCACAAGGGCTGGCGTGTGTACCTGGGGGTGCAGTGGCGTGGGTGTCTCTTTTGCGCCCTCCGCTGGCATCCCTCCTCTTCTGGCAGTGCGGGGCCGGTGAACGAGTGTTTCCCCCGCCAGGTGTGCATGGAGCGGCTGTGCCGAAGAGCGAGGCCAGAAGAGCAGGAGCTGCAGCTGTGCTACCTGGAGCAGCTTCACACGCAGCATGAGGACTGGCTCCTGAGGAGAAGCCCCATGTGAGTGACTGGTGGGGGGGGGGTCCTGGCCTGCCTGCTGCGGCTGGCGGGGCTTCCCCTGCCACCTGCTTCTTGCGTCTGAGCTGCCTGGCTGCGAGCTGGTGCTGGGGACTGACACAGGCAGCTTCTGGGGTGCCCCGTGGCCCCGGCCCAGCCCTGACCTGACCTGGGGAGAGGACTGCCGGGCTGAGGCTGTGCTCCCCACCCTGGGAGGAGGCATCACGGAGGAGGGGGGCAGGAAGGTGCAGGGCGACGACCTGTGCAGACACATCCCTTTGATCCCCAGGTCCCGACTGGATGGCTTAGGGGACGTGCCAGTTTTGGTGCTGGACGTGTCCAGAGATTTTGAGCATGACCCGAGTGAGCAAGGGAAGCTCGTCAGTCAGGTGAGCACCTGCAGGGGGCTCCTGTGGCACAGGAAAACTCCGGTGGAATGGGAAAACACGGATGGGATGGTCTCACAGAGGAGTAAGGTTGGCACGAGGACTGCTGACTTCACCCTGCTCTTTGTCTGGCCTGCCATGGAAATGGCTCACTGGGCAGAACCGCCTGGACATCTTTCTAAAGCTCTGTCCCCCTTTTTCACAGGTGCGCACTTTTGTGGAGAGTGGCCCTCTTGCTGCTTTGCCCTCTGCGGCCGCCTCTTAACTCAGCATCTCGTTCAAGGAGTAGCTGACTCTGCTGGGCCGGGAGCTGTGGTGGAAACAGGTCACCCTCTTTGGGTCTCGGCAGGCCAGAACCGCCTGGAATTAAGGGTGGCGTCAACACTGTGTGCGTTGTAAATAAATGTGTGTGTAGAGGAACTGAGTCCAGGGACCCACGAGGTCTGGAATCTGCACCCCATGGAGCAGACTGCATGGAAGCGCAGGCAGGGGCTGTGAAGACGCTTCTCAGCCCCAGAGCCTCGTGTTCTTGGGGGCTGTTGTCCCGTTTGCTCTTCCCCATGCACTTCCGGGTGCATGGGGAGGGCCGAGGCTTCCTGGGGTGGTGGCTTCTGGTTAGCCAGGCACTCACCAGACTTGCTTCAGTGTGTAAGGGATGCAAACCCTAGCAGGGCTCACCTAACCCCTTTCGGCGTCGGGAGCGTTGGGGGCTGTACCTGAAAAACCTGGACGGAACCAGTTGCTGGACTGCTGAGGCAGTTTCTGACCTTGTTGGCCAGTTTGCAGCATGAATTGCAGCATTTGGAGCAATTGAGAGTTCAGAAGCTGCCGCCGCCGCCACCTCTGTAGCATCCCTAGAAATCTTTGGGCAAGCCCAAATAGCTCAGGCCAAGCCAGGGATGGCAAATAGGCTTCTAAGGGGGGCACCTTGGGTGTGGCCGGCCAGGGAATGCTGGGAAGGGTCCGGCTTTTTCTGTGCAAATGTCCACAGGCTGCGCCTTCAGCGGCTCACACTTGCTTTCACGGGCAACGTCAGCGCTTACTGCTGCTCGGTGCTCGTCTACACACAACCATCTTTCATGGCGCCTTTCAAGGGTGTGGTCGCGTGCACACAAAAACGCTTGCAGTGGTGTGGGCGCAACTGCAGAAGCATTGCTGGTTGTGCAAGTGCACTACCTTGGTTGCCTCATCCCGAACGACTGCCTCCTGCTTTCACTAGCTTTGGCTGCTGGGGAAGCATTTCAAGGATTCCTTGCCCTTTCTGCAGCGGAGTTCCCTGAAGTGCAGAGCGCGGCGTTCACCATAATAAAAGGGACCACTTTGAAAATGGCTTGTTCATGTCTTATTGGCGAAGGCGGTGGAGGAACACTGAGCGGGAGGCGCGGGGTCTCTTTGGTGCAATCTGCTGTGGCTGAGAGCGCGCAAGTGACCTCAAGTTCCCTGTGCCACGCTTGGCCTCTCAGTAGTACTTCAGATGCAGTCCCGTCCCACCCCCTAGTATAGCCACAGGTGCTACCTGTGATGCCAGACAGCAGAGCCCTGCAGAGTACCCCGGATAAAAGCGGTTCATGCCTTGCTAGCGTAACGGGTAGTGCAGAGGACTGGCTGCTTAACTCTGCCTCTTCCTTGGGCCATGCATTAACAGGCGGCAGTTTTAAATGGTTTTTAGCTGAGAAAGAAGTATTTGCATCCAGTCTGGTAAACACAGGCTTGTAGCAAGGGAGGCCCACTAGATGGCCCCCTCCTTCAAGCCCTCTTTTCCAGAGACAGAAGTTTCAAGAGATGCTTCCAGCCGAAGCGGGACGGTGTTGCAAGAGGACTTGAAGCGTGAGTGGGGGGCTCCTGGGACAGGAGTCATCTCACGGCCTTCCAGCGTTGCTTCTTGGTGGGTCAGAGAAACACACACAAAAATGCACGGGGGGCTCGGGCAGGTTCCGTGTGCTCTGGAGCAGGCCTGGGTGGGTGCAGGGCTTCTCTCTCACGGGCCTGTGGGCAAGAGCTGCAGACGCAGTCCCCGGCGACCAGCAGGCCGTGTGGCTTGGCGTGTTTGCTGGCAAGGGCTCCTGCCACCTTTTGGTCTCGGCCTTTCCGCGGGCATCGCGGAGCCTGTGCTGGAGCGCCTTCCCAGCAGAGGGGTGCTCGCACAAGCCGTGCTTCAGAAGGAGCGGCTGGGCCTGGTGTCACAACACGTGCCCCCGGCACCCCATGGGATGATAGAGCCTGACCCCTTGACTCACGGCCAGGATTCGGAAGACCTCAAGGCACCAGGCAACTGGCCCCAAGTAGATCGGCCTCTGCCGCCCACCCATCTACCTCAGCCTTGCCTGCACAGACTGGCAGTGGCCGCTGTCCAGGAGGAGGCAGCCAGGGGCCCTTTCGCAGGATGGCACAGCTTGGCGGAGGCGCCCCCCGCCCCCCCAGGGCTGTTCCTGTACAAGAGGCAGAAGCACATCCGGGTTTCCCCAAAAAAAGCAGGCAGGGCCGCGCGGGGGCTCCCTTTGACCCGCGTCAGTTTGGCTGTTCGAGGTGCATCTCGTCTGAACGGTGCCGCCGCCGCCTAACGCAGGGCCTACGAGAGGCAGAGGGAGGCCTGCGGGTGGCGCCACCGCGGCCGCGCTCCTTCCGTGCAGCCCCGCGGAGACGGCGCCCACCGCGGGCCGCCGGCCGGGTGGAGGCCGCCAGGGCGCCAGCTCCCGCGGCCTACGCGTGCCGGGCGCGCACAAGCGGCGCCCCGACGCTTCCCGCTGGGCTCCTGGCTCCGCGCGCGGGCAGGCGGCGCGCTTCCCTTGGCGGGGCTCCTCCGGAACGAAGAGGCGGTCGGCGCCGCTTCGAGGGCCCTCCGCGCCGCTGCTGCGCGGCGCTACGGGCCCTTTGCGCGCGCTCAGGCGGCGCGAGGCGGAGGGGCGCCTCTGCGGAACGGGGCCGCTTGCTTCCGGGCGGCCCGCCGCCGCCGCCGCCCCCGGGGCCGGGGCCCGAGCGGCGCGCGCGCGG